TCGTCGATGTCATGTGGAAGGGGGGAATATTCGGCGGCCCGCGCTCGAAAAAAATTCCTGAAGGAGGGCATAGTAAAAGCACTGAGCGCAAGGCGGAGACGGCGAGAGGGAGGGGAGATGCGCATGGAGCTTTCCTCTCGCCATAATTATGGCGGTTCCAGGTTGGGAAGTTCCTGGAGGTTTGCACATTTCCGGTCAAGGTTTTACTAAGCTGGGAACAGATCTTCCCTCAAAAGGAGAGGGATGAGCACTCCATTTACCTGGATCGTGCTAAATGGTTGCTGCTGTCCTGATTAGGGCACATATTACTCCCGTATTGGCAGAAGGCGGAGGGTTGGCGCCGTCGTGTCAGCGCCCGGCAGGTACGCCACCCACACGTGGCAACCATCCAACGTTGCAACCACAGTGAATCAGTTCTGTTTATAACCAAGCATGACGACGTTGCAGATCCAAAATCTCAGTCCTCACTGATAACCAAAATACAAAGGTAATTGCTACTCACCTTGGAATAATTCAACTGATATGTTGAACCTCTCAAGCAACCGAAGGGAAACACAAAATTATACACGAAATGCAGGATACCATCGCTATGTCCTAGTCTGGGCTCTAAGGCTCTGATACTGCGGACCGTGTGCAGAAAGGATTTTCGCAGATAAGCCGGGCATGGTTGACCGTTGTTGCTGCGGAATTGGACCGCCAAGTCCATCACGATATAGAAACCACTGATCTCGTTATGGTGCCCGGCGGATCCCGATCAAGTGCCTGTGGAATTCCGACGGTTCTACTGATTGATTCCGACGGGTGTGAGGAAAGCCAAGTCACAAATTGGAGAACTCGAACTGCATGTAATGTGAACATGTAGTCGATAACTTGATTAGTTTCCGTGTCGACGATAGCTTATAATACACGGAAATCAATAAGTTACCGGCTATAACCGTACATGTACGTCAAAGTATCCGGGCCCGAGCCACGATGTAACCACAACGTGCGATTGACAGCCAATTTAAGACGGCTTGCACGGCCATATCATACATATCTAATCGCATCCCAGATCGCCCGGGACCGACTGCTCCGGTCCAAGGTCACGCCCGATTTCTTTGGAGGATAGCGGGCTTGGCTCGCCGCGTCCCCTCTAAATCTGAATGCCGCCCGCCAGCGAGGACGGCGATGGGTTCCCACCGCTTAGTAGTAGTAGGATCTAGGCGCTTACCGGTAGCACGGCTGGGGCTTGTTGGGATTATTTTTCCGTTGAAACGCGGACAACAATTGTTCCGCCGTCCCTCAAGTCTCCGCTCCGCTGATTCATTGCGGAGGTGTGCGATGCCTGAGCAACGGAATCCAGTTCTTCAAATTTAGTTACTCGCACAAGTGGTTGACCCGTCTGACGAGACTCATGGACTTAGGGGGTCTTGACTCTCTCGTTTAGCCTATAAAATGAAAATCTAGAATTCATAACTCCTCCGTCCCCAGTGATTTCCCAGCTCGACTTTTGGGCTGAAAGACCTTATCTTCGTTATCAATCAGCATTTTCATTCGTCCAGGAGCTTACCCGCTGTTTGATGTCCCATCATTATTTGCTCTGTTCTTATTTGCTCTCTATCTAGTAATTTGTCTGTTGCGCCGGCTCTCTGTGTAAGCGCTGTGGACGTCGACTGGCCTGCAAGTCTACACAAGCGCGTCCATTTGATCCACCCCGCTGTTAGAGGGCCCCAAACTCGGGGGAGATGCGTTTCAAAGTGCCTCACGCGCTCTGCTCGTGTTTTCCTCCACTCTTTCTATAAACCCTCGCAGCAGCGAAATACAAACTTCGAAGGAGGACGCGTAAGTCTCTTTCTATACCTCTTCCCTGTCCCATTGATCGGGTTTAAAATATTGTTTACTCAAGTCTAATTGGCGAGGCGAGTAACCGCGTACGCTCTGCCGTACACAAATCCTTACCCGAGCGTTCCCACCTTTCAGGTCGTAAGCGGTTCGCGGGACAACGCCCACCTCACGGGTCGCAAGAGGTGTTGTCTTTCCGGGTAAGTAACTCTTTTGTCTCGATGACATCGCATTGACCTCCGCCCCAGCGGCCGAAAGAGAGGTCAATCCGCGCGCTCTAAGCGCAACGCTTGGAGCACCAAAGCACGACGCTTGGTCCCCGTGTCGAATCGTACTTAAGACCTGGCGAGACGGAGCGGCTCTCCAGCCTCTCACTCTGTCTCGTCAGGTATGTCCTCGATTTTCCTCTCCTACGTACGCTCCTCACTCTGTCTCGTCAGCATTGTGCTTTATTTCTGCTCTCCCACCCTTATATTTACATATATACCCACACCTAGTTACATGACTCGTAGGCCATCTCGGCACATCGCGTCGTCTCAAATAGACTCCCGAAGCCTCTTCGAGGCTGATTTCTGCTAAACCCGAGCTCTGGTGTGACCACCTGGACTACGCCAATTAGACCTTCAAGTCGACTCCTCACTATCAACCCTCTGTCTCAGACACCGCGTGGCGTCTCGTAATAGCCACATCTGCGTACCTGATGGCACACCCAGTGGGTGAATCGATAGTCATGAGTGCTACTAGTATTCGCTTTCTGTCTTGCCTATAGTAGGATTCTCCTGTCCCCGTATTTCGCACTCTTCCCGTCCGTCACAGCAGCCGAAAAACCCGTCAGATTGAAGCGCAAGCTCATAGCCTCTTCGAGTTTCAAATTTCTGCAGCCAGGGACGAGGCAAGCAAGGTTCTTGACGGTTCAAATACCCACATCCCTCCAAAGCTGTGCGTAGAAATTTTTGACGCGCGTATTTCCAGTTTGAATTTGGCGGGAATTTTGTGGGCCCATCTTGGATTAGTGATGTTGGTCTGAAAGCCCGGGCTTGGGCTCGGCCTGACAGGGTCTGGGCTTCAGATTACCCAAGCCCGAGCCCGAGCCCGAGCCCGCAGGCAGGGCTTCGGGCTTGAGGGAAATTGCAATCAATTAACAAGACCAGCAGCGGTAGGGCACAAATAATGGTACGGATGTCCCCCGACACCTCAAAACCACCACCTACCTCAGTTTGAACCTCACCAGCACATAATTTCCATTTTCGGACTCGGGAGTTGAAAATTTTTGAACCCGAGAAAGACATCCTAGACATCCTGGCATCAACAATTTGGATAGTATAACGCAAAGAATATATCTGAATGGATTCACTGACTCAATGTGCGCGTTTACTGATCCAAAAGTAAAGGTGAAAGCCGACTTTATAGGTGCTACTCAAGCCCGGGCTTGAGGGCCCGGCGTGGGTTTGACATTCTCAGGCCCGAGCCCTGGGCCCTGCATCGGGCTCGGCTCGGCTCGGGCCTGGGCGCGCTCGGCCTGGCGGGCCTCGGGCTTGAAGCCGAGCCCTGCACATTACTACTATATCGAGTCGGAATATTGCACACGGATCGTTGGTCGTCTTTTCTACTATCAAGCTGGTTATTCTCCTAACTCGTCAATCCACTCTCACAAAGCACCTTCCATCCTGGTGCGACTTGACCAAGACTTGATCCTTGAGGCTCCGGCTCGTGCCGTGGTCGGCGATCTATCACGATGCTATGGTGACTCAGACTGATTACCGAGCCGCGAATCCTTGCCTCCCACCACCAACTCCAAATTTCATAGACGTGCCTGCAAGGCCATGGAGAGCGACGGGATCTACATCCGCCAATTCCGCCCCTCCGACTTTCCTCAAATCCGCGCCCTTCTATTCGAAGGCTTCGTTACCAGCCGTGAGTTGCACACCCATCCTCCCACACCCTCGCTGCGCTGACCACCGACGAAGAGGGCAGCGTAACGCTCGTCGCGAAGCGGCGCTTCCTGTTCAAGTTCCCCACGCCCCTCGCGTACCTCATGTGCGGGGTTGGCCTCGGCCTCCTCGTGCGCGCAGACAGCTGGCCATCGCTGACTGCGGGCGCAGGCGCACTTCTGTTCACCGCGGGCGTCGCGCTCTTCGCCGGCATCCAGCGCGCCATCCCGCGCGCCATGACGAAATTCTGCGAAGACGCGCTCGCGGCCGACATGCACGACATCGCCGCGCACTACCGCGCCCCGGCCGGCTTCTTCGTCGCCGCGCTCCCGCGTTCAGCGTCTCCGGGAAAATACGGCGCGGCGGACGACTCGGAGGAAGTCGTGGGCTACGTCGGGCTCGGTGCGCCCCCTCCCTCCCCCCTATTCGCTAGGCTATGTTGACCGCTCCTCGCAGAATACCTCCCCGAGAAGGACCCGCACACGGCGGAGGTGCGCCGCATGATCGTCTCCGCGGCGCACCGCCGGCGTGGCATCGGCGAGCGGCTCATGCGCGCGCTCATCGCGCACGCGGAGGCGATCCCGGGGCTGCGGTCCATCGAGCTCGGCACGAGCGAATACCAGCCCGGCGCGCAGCGCCTCTACGAGCGCCTCGGGTGGACGCTCTTCCAGGCCGAGCGGGTGTGGGAGGGCCCTGTCAACGTCGTGATTTGCCACTTCCGAAGGCCCGTGGGCGGAGCGTAGGCGACGCGTAGGCTCCGTGCGGGGTGTAGGTGTAGGTCTCCGTGCGCGGTGCAGTTCCAGGGCTACTTTTTAGGGTAATCGGGCATCGGGCATAGATGGACTTGTCTAATAACATAGAATGCATGCGCACAGGGCGCTTCAAATCCGCCATTTTCGACGTGCCGGGAATTTTTTTTAAAAATCTATGAACCGTCATGCCCCGGGCTGGATTCGAACCAGCTTCTCCCGCTCCATGCTTACTTGGAATTGGTACAGCGTGCGGGCGCGATACCATTCGCCACCAGGGCTCGTTCTTCAACACGTAGACCCTACATTGTTCTGCTGCTTCGAGGCAGAGTGCGCCGCGGCCAAAATATTAATCAAGGTGTCCTGCGATTCCGCAGGAAATGTCGTCGTAGTACCGAGGTCAGCGGCTCCTCTGCCAAGAGCTAAGTGGCTCCTCAGCTAGACGATTTGTGCTCACCTTTAATTTTGACTTGTCAAAAACGACGACGCCTTTGAAACACGATCTGGGCTGGATTCGAACCAGCCTCTCCCGCCCTAAAAAGTAGGGGGACGAGCTACAGGATGCGCGCGCGATACCATTCGCCACCAGGTCTTGCTCTTCAACATGCAGACCCCGCATTATTCTGTTGATTCGAGACAGAGTGTGCTTGCCGGGTGCGCCGCGGCCGGAGTATTAATTAATGTGTGCCGCGATTCCGCAGAAAATGTCGTCCGACCGAGGTCAGCGGCTCCTCTGCCAAGAGCTAAGTGGCTCCTGAGCCAGACGATTTGTGCTCACTTTTAATTTTGACTTGTCAAAAAAAGAATGACTCCTCTGAACCAGCTCTCCCGCGCTAGAAAGCGGGGGGACGAGCTACCGGGTGCGCGCGCGATACCATTCGCCACCAGGTCTTGTTTCTACCAGCGCAGCCCTCGATTTGTAGTATGGTTTGCGTTGAGACGATCGAAGCCGCCAAGTACGCGATTCAAGTTGCCCTTCTTAGGACTCGAAAATTCGCTTCGTAGCCTGTATATAATAACCTCTCCGAGATTCATTCAGCTTCGCCTCGGTCAGCTCGTATTGCATGAGGTTACTCCGATGAGAGTGCCTCTCGAGCCGAAGGTATCTGCACGCGATACAATAAGATACATGGGTTGAATAAAAGAAGCGACGATTCACCAATGACCCGGGCTGGAGTCGAACCAAGGTCTCTCGCTCTAGAAGGAAACGCAGATACCAAATTATAGGGTGCGCGCGCGATACCATTCGCCACCAGGTCTTGTTCCAAGCGGAGCAGCCGTGGATTTGTCTTGTGATTTTGTCGATTTGGTGGACAAGCCATTTCGTTCAGCTGTGTGGTGTGCGATCTGCATCTCTAGGACGAATTAATTCAGAAGGAATGATTTCACAAAGGGAAAACCATCAAAAAAATGGAGCGCCGAGCCACGACCTGGGCTGGAGTCGAACCAGGTTCTCCCGCTGCAAGTGTTCTTCTCGTTTCAATCTACCGTGCGCGGGGGCGATGCCATTCGCCACCAGGTCTTGTTTCTACCAGAGTTGACCCCGATTGAGACTCGGATGGCCATCGAATATCGCGCAGTCGTTTGGGTCACCGGGTGATGCTGCATCTTGCCTGTTGCGAGGAGAAAAAATTATGGTGTCACTGCACCTGATCGCGCGACATCGAGGCTCAGGACACCTGGGATATCCGACTAGGTGCCAGGGGAAAAAATCTTTTGGACACGACTCATGCCTTGCGCTGGATTCGAACCAGCCTCTCCCGCTCGACATTTCAATGCTGGTGCGATACCATGCACCACCAGGGCTTTCTCTTCACAGAGTTCACACCCGTATTGCTTCGTCGATTCGAAGACATACTGCACTGGCTGCGTGTGTGCGCCCTCCCTGCGAATCCGGAGTAAATATTGTCCACGTTCGCTTGCTCCCGAGCTGAGCTCCTCCGCCAGACGATCTATGCTCCAAGCTTACCTCGCAGAAGAAAAAAAACAACGCCGCCATGACGACCTGGGCTGGATTCGAACCAAGCTCTCCCGCGCTAGAAAGCGCCCACCAAGCTACCGGGTGCGGGCGCGATACCATTCGCCACCAGGGCTCGTTCTTCATAGACTTTATCCTGCATTGTTCTATTGAATCGCAGACATAGTGCCCTTGCTGACTGCACCCCACCCTGCAATTCGGAAGTAAATGACGCCACCTTCACTCGCTGCTGAATTAAGCTCCGCAACCAGCGATATATGCTCCCAGCCTATTCCGCAGAACAAAAATGAAAGTGGAGACAATGATACGACCTGGGCTGGATTCGAACCAAGCTCTCCCGCGCCAGAAAGCATCTACCAAGCTACGGGGTGCGGACGCCATACCATTCGCCACCAGGTCTTGTTTATATCAGAGCAGGGCTCGATTTCTGCTCAATTGGAGCTCACCAATTCGCTTGTACATACAGGCGCGCCTCAAAGAGTCAAGCTGCAAGTACTTCTTCAACAAATCGCCTCCGCCTGTACCCTCTCCTAGATTTACCTTCGAACCGACTCCTGGTGCATAAGGTTATGAGAGCGGCTCTCGAAGTCTCAGGTAAAGTCCCTAGCTAAGAGGGTACTTATGTTGATTGGACCGAGATACGCGCGAGACGCAGGAAAGTGAAAGAAAAAAAGGCGCCTTGGAGCGCTTGATACCCGTGCTGGATTCGAACCAGCTTCTCCCGCTCCATGTCGCTCGAAGTTGTTACCGCCGGCGTGATACCATTCGCCATCAGGTCTTGTTTCTACCAGATTGGTCCCCGATTTATACTCAGATGGCCGTCGAATATCACAGTCATTTTGCTCCCGGTTGAGGCTGCCGTGATTGGCTTCGTCATTGTAGTTGAACGACAATAGGATAGTATTTTATCTCTGCATATGTACTACTCACGACGGATCCGGGAGGCGGTCCGCGTATAATTTCCTACAAAACTCGCGTAATCCGGAGAGGCATGGCTCTCTCGCCGCTCGCAACAGCGGGCATGATATTGGTCATGTATCGCGGCCGGACAGCCTCGTCCACCTGCTCCGAAAACGAAAATTTACCGACCAATTCGCAGAATATGACTTGCATCTCCAATATCCTGTTGCCCCGCCCATGATAATAAGACAAATCCCGCGATGGACAAATGGCACACTCACGCAAAACGCCACCTGCAATTCGGCGGTTAGTCCTACGACACTGGAATGTTTTAAAAGGGCTTACCCGAGACATGTGCGCGGCCCACCGAGGAAGCTCAGGCTACGTACGGGTTTATTTAATATACGCACGGGGAGGTGAACTGATTAACTGACAGATTCGCGTACGGGCCAAGGGCTTCTCCCTGATAGGAAGCGCCTTCCAGCCAACGAAGGGGGTTGAACTCATGGGCATCCTTCCCCCAGCGCGATTCCAGTCTAGCATATACATCCTGAGATCGTGGACGGTGTGTATCCATATAATGGAGCGAACCTTTGGTATGATCCGATGGCCAGCGTCACAAGCTGGCCCTTCTGAATGGGTATCTGGGTTATCTGCTGCCCTGTCGATGCGGTGATACTGTCCCCTAGCGGAATGACTGTGTCCTGCTGAGCGATGCGATCCGGGAGCGGCTGGGCTGGGTATAGCCTGAGTGTTTCCTAGGAATGGAATAGTTAATTCGCACGGCTGTATGCAGGATGCGGATAGGCCCTACCTTGATGAACGCATTCAGCAGCGGCATGTTGTCGTAACCAACATCTTTGATGCCAGTCCTCGGATTGGAGTAGATCTCGGCGCGAAGTTTATTTTGGAAATCGGGGTTCCGGGCGAGCTCCAGTAACCCCCACGCCATAGTGTTGGCCTGTTGAAATGATAAAGCGTTAAAACCTGGGTATAGATCACCGCACGAAACATACCGTTGTCTCCTGCCCAGCGACAAGAATAATCCCAGTCTGGGAGCGGATATCATCCTCGCTCAGCTCCTTTCTCGTTTTCTCCAACATATCCGTCACTACGAAATGACATCGTCAGAACTAAATCGTCTTCCTGAGAATATTTACAAAGTAAACTAAAGAAGTCATTGTTGATATCCAGTCCCTGTCGGGCGGCTTCGATCTTCTCTCGGACAATTTGGTGCCCAATGCGATCTGCAAGGTATCGTTCCTTGCGAATAACCTTGAAAGATTTGGTTGGGAGATACATTGCCGCGCGCCAAAACCAAGCAGGGAAGTTTGCTCCAATCGCGTCAGCCAAAATTTGGGCCTTGGATTGACTGGCTGAGAGCTCGCTACCAAGATTTATGCGCATCACAGAGTTTTAACCCATGCCAATAATCACTTACAGTATCTTGATATTATTCTCCACAAAATCTTGCCCTAAATCTTGAAGAGAACGACCCAGAATGGCTACAGGCCTTTGTCAAATCAGCGCTGTCGGAGTACACTGCGCTGGCCGACCTTCACTGATTGCGCCGAGAGTCGCGGTGCTGAGGAGCGGGCAAACATTGGTAGCCTCCGCCGTGGACTGTTCCAACTGGCTCGAAAGCTGGAGAGAGAGATGTTGGAATACCACAATGCACTCCGAGATATCCTCACCATTTCCGCCACTTTTTGAAACACCGGTTGGTAACCGCGTACAGCTGCAACGGAGAACCCGATGTTCAGGGCGGCACGGAGCCGGCGGTGTTCATCGCCTACATGTCCGATATCGGCATCAGCACACTCTCCGCGATTCCAACAGAAACGGACCTTTGGCGGTCATGACGCTCCCGCTCCCGAACAAGAAATACGCCAAGGTATCACGGATAGGTGTCCGATAAAAATGTGGACTGTTTAGGATGTACTGCATCGCAAGTGGATCAGACACCATGAGGCGATCTTGCTGTGCAATGATGAATACGATGAAATCTTTAGGTCAGAATAACTACCCCAAAACACCCCTTCAGCCGATAGACAGAGCCGTACAACTTTAGCCACTTGTGTTCGTTGTCACCGTACCGTGGTGAAAGTACCAATTGTGCCATGTGTCCTGGAGCGCCGTCTGTGAACCAACTTGGGATACGAAACGCAAAGCCTACCATATATCCATGACGGGGATGGCGGTCCCACGATACTTCGGATGGTGCTCTGTCGTCGGACGACCCAATACAAAGCCAGGACCGAGATAAAGGCCGCGAGAGCAGTTGTATAGTTGATAGCGGATTGCATAATTGAATGTCCCTTGGGCGAGTTTGGGTGGAACGGGGAAACGACTGAACGTGGGTAGGGGAATGCATGCCCAGTTCCCCTTAAATACCTGGGGTCAGAAGACCGGGCGGCATGAGAGAGTCAGAACCCTTCTCTCACCGTCAGTGGTGCAGAATATTTACCGTCCATGCAACAAACAAAGGATAATTATTATTGGATGTACCCTTGTTCAGATGCGTGGTCGAGCGGCGATCTTCTATAGGATGTGGGTGGACTTGCTGAACGTGCCGTTCTATGTAAATTGGATTACTCAGAGTGGGGTGGGAAATTTTGAACTGTCTTCTAGATATTTTAGACACCACGGGTCCAATTCGCTTCGATTCGCACGGAAAACTAGTTCGAGTTGCGGCCAAGGCAGGGACCAGGAGGTCAGGTTGCACAACGATGTGAACATTTCGGAGCAATCCCGACGCGATTCCGTGACTCGATTGACCAAGGTCCAGGAAATCGCGAGGACAGGGGAAAATCAGGAAGCATCTTTGAGATGCAAACAGGCCTGCCGCGCAACGTGGCACGGCTGATTGGTCGACGATAATTCAATTCTGCAAACTGTGACCGTTAACGCAGATGCCGCAAACTAGACAGTTCAAACCCAGCGTTGACTACGGTGGGGCAAAGACTGTAGCGGCTGAGCCCAGCAGAGTCTAGAGAAAGGCAGTTGGGAGTAGTAGGCTGCTCCATGTTCATTAGATCCAATTTAGAGATCGAAATCCAAGGACGATGATTCCGCCCCAGCTTGCTAAGATTTTTGGAGAATTCAGAATAGACAGCAGGCCGCAGTGTAGATAAGCCTCAAGGAGCAAGATATTACGGGTTGCGGTCGAGATTCGTTGGCTTTGTTCGTGGCCGGACGGTAAACCCACAGAATGAGGTTCTGGATGATAAGGCAAAAGAACTAGCGCCAGCGTGGTGGTGGTTTGGAATCAAGCAACAAATCAGTGGCAGTGCTCGCTTGTTGCCGCCGAATCGGCACAACTCCCAAAGCTCCTTCATCTTCTGTGATCCCCAGACCTGGCCTGCCCAACTGACTCAGGATGTCGACTCTAAATCTGTTGGACTTCAAGTGGATTTTCTCTTCGGCCCTTCCATGCACAGGTATCACATCTCCTGAGGGCTTAGAATGACGTAGTCCCCGCAAGATATAAGTGAGATCCGCGGAAGATTATGCCGCCCGCGCGGAAGAGGCTCGCTGCACAGCCTTGGGGAGATGAGACATTAGCCCCCTGCGGAGTATTAAACGCGGACGATTTCACTGAAAGATGCACAGTATCAACCCATTCGAACGACCACCGAACGGCAGGTGCAATCTGTACGGGTAAGACTCAAAGTATTTATTTCAACCAATCATCGCTCAACGTCGCCTAGGATCATTGTCCCAACGCGCACCCTATTAACGCTTCCAACCTCGACAAATCGTACTACAGGTACGAGCCTCCTCCTCCCCCTATCCCGCCTCACTCACAAGCCCTAGATGTCTCTCTCCACGATTTCCACCCGCGCCGTGCTCACCCCGAGCGAGGCGCGCACCCTCTTGCGCGCGCACATCTTCCACTCCGGCGACGTCGACCGCACACCGTGCCGCCTCGCATCCGAATACTACAACCACCCCGCGCACGACAACGGGATGCGCCGCGCGCTGCACCCCATTCCGCCAATGATGGCGGCCGTGCCCGGCTCGGGCTCGCCCGACGCACACATCCGGCACGCCGGCACAGCTACCCCGCGCCCCCCCGGCGCGCCTCGGAGCCGCTTTGGTAGCCCGTGAATCGCGCGCCTCATTTATCCGTCCGCAGACAACCCACGATTTCCTTCCGTGGAAACCGGATACTCAAAGTGTAAAAACAAATGTACTATGTACTCCCTTTACCCT